TATCAGAACTATTCGTAATCGGTAGGTCATGAAAAATATAAAGATGGAGTTAACCACTCAGCGACGCTCGGTCGGGTCGCGGTGGGTGTAGATAAATCGGAGCGGCTAATTTTAAAAGCATATAAAGAGGAGGTAAGCGCGGCACGATCCAGCCTGGCCCACCAAGATGGCGCGAGATGGGAAAGCATTGTGGCAACGAATTAGATTCAAAGATGTCTCGTTGTGTTCGTCCTCATTTGATGTTTACGGTGTTAGGCAGTCGTCGTTGTTGGCGACAAAGCGAATCGATCGTGGCTAAAGGGTATCCGCTTATTAGGTCACTTAGAACGATATGTTAGGTCTGTTCATCAATATCATAAAAAATCTAGATTTGCTTGCATTTCATCCGTACATAAACCTAGGTAAACCGACTGCGGCCTGAGTGCCTAGTTCTATTGAGGGCTTGCCTGCTGCAATTGGTTTGCATTGGATATCGTGGGGATAATATGTGATAAACTATTAAAAAAAAAAATAATTACTATTCTACTAGTTTTCTTTCGATTCTAATTTAGCTTTGATTCTTCAAGCTTTATTATATATATTAAATTAAAAGTAAAATTTTATTCGGCAAAAGGTTGTTAGGATGAAGTCAAGCTTTTCCATCACGAATCGAAAGATTAGAATCTAACTTGCAAATAAGTTTCTTTTTTTTGTATTCCTATCTGGGTATAGGTATAACTTAATTAGTCACCCACAATGAACTTTCCTGGTGTCGAATTTGGTTAAGAGGGTAGCCTGCTGCCGGGGTTGCCTTTCGTCAAACGCGCAGAATCGTTTCTACAACAATATCACGCGAATTCGTTCAACAATCCAAGCGCGACCGAGTAGGCAAGGACGTCGTTCGGACCACGATAGCAGAGATGATTTTGTGCTATTTAGGTCGACGATCGAGATATCGATCCTAGCTGCAGGGCAAAACTGGGATATAGGGATGTTCGTCTCAGCTGGCGCGCGCGATACAGAACAACTGTTCAACTTAACTAGGCAAGCCCTCTGCGAAGCTTCTAAGAAACCTAAAGTTCGCGCAACTTGCGCAAAGATAGCTGCTTCATTCGAAGGCACGGAGTTTTTACCCGTCGAACTTCTCGACGCTATAAATATGTATGGGTCTATGTTTCGACTGATTTCTATTTTTTCTTTCCCCTTTTAATCCTCGTAAATTTCGTATTTTTTTTTGACGATAATTAACGAAACTCGTATAGCATGGAGCTATGCAAGCGGCAGAGGTTCGGGGGGGAAACGCTAAAATAACAAAAGTTGTAAAGGATAGAAATAAGCGTCGTGCATGATTGCACTTAAACGCTAATAAGAAAAGGGGCAATTGCTGACTATATAAATTTAACTAAGAGGATTCAAGACATATACGAGAAGATTTGAGCAGTTACACAGAAAGCATTTGCAGTACTCAGCTACAAACGAAACAGTCTGTTATTTGTGCATTGATAGGCACGCGTTTGCTTACTTAGGGAGCACATTGTGCTGTTTAAATAGGTCTATTCCTTTTCGTCTATAAACATTTACGTCGCACAGTGCAACGATGGAATCCTCATCGGATGTTAAGATATCTGCCCCATTTACTTGTATGATCATTGCTTAGATAATTTCCAGAAGCCATGTAACAAGGGGGCGAACGATAGTCATTTGAATAACACGATATGTCGCCCATCGACGCCTATTGATATTTGCAACATCAGAGAAGAGGTCGTTTAAATAAAGGCTATCGCAATAAATACAGCCATCCACTAATCCGAATCATTAAAGGGTGACTGGTTCAGTAGCGTGTATTATGAGCATTTAGACTATAGATTTCATAAGATAGCATTGTAGAAGTTTCGATACGGTCAAGAAGCCATACTAGAACCTTGCACTTTAACTCAAAACGTGAACTAACTCTTACACATATTCCCCCTACGTGGCTTGACTTTAGACTGCACGTATAAAACGTAGATCTATTACGTAGTGAAGAGTGGGTTTACGATTTCGCAAGCTGGTATAAATAATCACAACACTAACCAAAACCATGCGTTCACAGTGTATATATACACGAGCATGCCACTAATGGGACCTTTCCTATATCCAGTATCTACTTATAGCCGATTGTCTCATAGAGAGATTTCTGTCTCTGTCCTATTCAACCCTTGCACGACACAAAACCCGCGTATTTGTAGGTTATTTCCTACTTCAACAGTCACCTATACACATATACACGCACGCAGATACCCATAGAATCCTTCACTCAATCTCTATCTATATGTGTCCATTTAGTGGGTGCGCTCTAACTTCCTGTGAGATTCTAGTACTCACCGTTCAATCGCTGAAGAATCGTTACTGACGTGTGCCTCTCGTACTTGTCGCGTCGTTCGAGGGCATGTGGAAGAGACATGATTAACCTGAAAACCCGCACGTTTTCATTTTCGCTCAACCTAATAGCTGAGTTAGCTCCTGATCACGACGATAGAAAGGCCGCCGGTTCTACGAACTCATAAGACCATCCGCTCGTCGTATTCGTCATCGTGACAAAAATGTCTTCAATAAACACGATGTGGCTTTGGCGCTGGCGGCGTAGCCATTTGGCGGCCACGCTTGACGTCTTCACAGTTCTGTATTCAGAAGGAGGTCATTTCTATATACTTGGTGAGGTGCTACCAGCTGTAGTGCTACAAGTAGCAGCCACAACAGCAGTAGCTGTTTGTGAACGTCACAGTTAGTTGCCATTTGGCTCTACGAAGCCAAATTGTTACCGGTTTGCATTGGTTTTGTCCAGCCTTTGCATCACATCGATTTCGATCGCAGTGAATGCAACGAACGGCCCAATCTACCACTGCGGTGTGCTGTGTCTTTTCCTACAGACTGGCTGTTTTATAGGGTGTGGACGTGAGGCGTCTCCAGGGAGACCGGGTCAACACTCACGAGCTGCGCTGGCTCGCTGCGTGGCTGGCCTGGGAGCTCCTGCCCTCGGCTCTGGCTACGGCCCCGTGCACAGGTCGTGCACCGGAGGCCGGACACAACTCGTGTGCTGCCGGGACACATCAGCAGCAGTAGCAGCATGCGGAGACGGAGAGCGGGAGGCACCTCGAAGCCGCTCACGGGATCTATGTCTGCCAGTACACGCTCTCAATGTTGTGTGTACAATACTGGACGTGTGACGACCGGAGGGGCTGAGTGGACGTGGCTCAGTATGTCTGTGTGTGTAAATGTGGCTGTCGGATCTGAACCCCGGCGTGAGTGAGTGTGGTCTGGGACGCGCTCGTGGTGGGGTTTTAGGCAGTGGCCAGAACAGCAGAAACCGCAACAGAGGCCACGTTGGAGTTCCAGACATGAGCTCGAGGGGCTATAGAGTTCACGAGGTCGGTAAGACAACCGCCAAAGGTGCTGGGTAATGTTGGGGGGACATCACAACAAGGGATTCGTTCTCGTACAACTCAGGTATATGCAGCGTATCCAGAACACCTAATGTAATGGGAGGTGGGGACGAAGAGGAGCTATTGGGCGTGCTAGCTAGGGGCATTCTGTGGCTGTGGACAACCCGAACGGGGTAAACCGCTCGGCCCCTTTTTTCATACCCTCTTGTGCCTACTCGCACGCCGCTATGTGCTCAGATAAGGTGGGCTGATTTTGGGGTTTGTTGTATTACTGCTGTAGTGGGATAGCAGAGACGGTCGGTGAGTGGATGCGTCAGTCAGGAGGTGACTGTCGGTCGCAATAAGACGTGGTTGTAAGAACGAGTGGAGAGTCGGTCAGACAACGCAGAGGCTAGTGAGGATCCCGGTCTGTTAGGTAGAGCCGGTGCGAGACATTTTAGATACGCGAGCCTATCGAAGAATCGGGAGTTAGAAACGCCAACTAGAGGAGACTGATGGGCGGCGACAAGTGAACGCCTATCAGAGTACACTCGCGAAAACCCTGTTATTGATTGCCAGCTCCATTGTTGTCGACATCCCCGATGCGATGGACTGCCGAAATACCGCTAGTAGCGACCGAAAATTATAACAACGGAATATCAAATTCGATGCGTCTGCGTCGTACAAAATGTCGATTCAGGCATGCATTGCACGAAAACGCACGTGTAGTTTGAAATTGGTTAAAGATGAAACAACAATAAGAAGTAAACAACATTAAAGCTTTGTGTTGATTTAAATAAGGGTAGCAATAGAGCCAGCTAAAAAAAAAAAAGTGATGGAAATGTGCAGTTGTTGCTATGTCGCTACGGATGCGATCTTCTATAAAGTTGGCCCATAGCTGTATGTAACCTGTTAATGCAGATTTAGGAGGTGATTAACCCACCTGTATAGTGTGGTATAGTTCTTGATTTACGGTTCGTGTCATCTCACAAAAACGCAAAGTCGTATTATAAGTAGTTAAATGAGAGGATAGACATAGAGTCGCTTAATACAGTTTGCTAGTATAGGTTTCAGCACACTTTTTATAAATTATTCACAAAAACTTGTCACGCCACGAACCCCTTTCTTCAAGGTAAATTCAACCATACGGGTTTTCTAGTAACCCAGCGTCAAGGACAATTGCTGAACGTTACGCGTGTTCGAAATCCAGCTTTATGCCAAACTAACGATATATGATATGCCATAGATGGCGAATTCACTAGCCTGAGTCACCTGGGGATTTTAAAATAAAACCCTACCCGATGTAAAAAAAGACGTGCTTTTTTACTTTTTTTACAGTTAACTTCCATCAGTAGATTATGACGGAGAATGAATCTGCTACAAACCATTTGCTGAAACTTTTAAAATCCGCTATATACGACAGGCTTTCATAGTCAAATATCCATGAAAGGTAGAGACACTATTTATATATATAAAAATATATATTTTATATATAAAAAAACTAGTCAGCTAAGCAATTACACAGCTGTAAGTTGCTAACTAATATCAACAGTAGCTATTAGGGTGCGAGTCATAACACGACAAAAGGTCATCATTGTCAAATGCACTCATGATTTCTAGGTTGAAGAAGATTTGTGAAGACAATCTTCAATACGTTAACTTACTGTTGGATATAGCTGCCATGCACCATATCGTTGTCAACAATCGACAGCGCTTGCCGGATATAATTTCAGCGGTTTGCCGAAGGCTTCTAAAGGCCAGCAATGGAATAATCTACAAATTGACAGGTGAATGTCTGAAGACTGGCTAGTTCATAAGTCTGCTATAACAATCAGCTTTAAAACATAACATAATTGAGAAATCTCAAATTATACTAGCTTGAGATTTGCAAGTAATATATATATATAGACCAACCCTACTTGCTTAGACTTGCTGAGATAGTTATAGAAAATCAAGTTTAAACGAAGAATCTTGCTACGTTTACTTATTCTCTCATAAAGCCTGCCTGGCTTTCGGTAACGCCTTCGGTTACAGTAACTGCTATTCAACGCTTGGCGAAAATGAGTATCTAGATACATATGTGGCCTTGTTTTCCATGCTTTTTTAATAGCGCTTTAAACGATACCTGTAAAAACAAGTCGCTTGGGGGAAATTCCTATGAGGTTTTATGTCGATTTACTGTAAATAGCTGGTGTAGACTTGAAAGGAGATTATTAAGAACCCTCGAACATAGCGGAAGCTCTTGATGCAATGGTGCAAAAGTATATTTGTTTTCAAAAAGCAACAATAATTCGAACAATTAAACAACAAACATATACACTAAGCTAACAAAAAAAAAGGAATACACTATACGGATTGTATGCTTTTTTGTGATGTGATGAAGGACGATTGTCGCATCAAACTTGCTCTCGGAAGACTAAAATGAACTTAGGACCGACTTGAGTTCTATTTAACGGGGCTTAGAGAAGATATCTAGCTTCCTTTTGACCGAACTTTGTCTTAGTAAGGAACTACTATACTGATGATTTATGCTGAATTTAGTAAACAATTGTGGTTCAATGAGATCTATGCAGATGGTATTGTTTTTTGAGTAGACGTTTTTAGGAGACTACATAAGTGGAACGTTAATGTAGTAATGTTAACCGATAATTTTATCAGTTTTCAGGTTAACGTCCGGAATCTCCATCAGCTTCAATAGCACCAAAAGACTGGCCCTCAACACAATGGGACCTTGGACACAATCTAGGATACAGGTTGCATACGACCCTAAGGTTCCCATACGAATACAGTAGGACTGAACCATTGTCATAAGGACTTTCTTCATTGTGATACGATCCGTCTGAAATTTACTACCACCGAAATACTTCCGCTGACTAACAGAATGGCAAATATCATTACCGCCGAAGGTATCTGTGACAGGGCGTTCATACGGAAGTTACCCCTATATTTGTGTTTGTATAAATGGCTCACTCTTTATTAAAACTAATATTTTCCTAGTATATCAAGCGTGCTAACTGCGCACTGACAATCAATCCTAACGGATTCAGTTATTTACAGGGTGAACAAGGCGAAGGCAAGAACGGGCCAAAAAATCAAAGGCTTTTGATCGATCAATACACTTGACGGCTAACAAGCCATTATGCCCGCTACTATAACGTTTTCAATATCCATTCGAAATTATGTTGTCATATGTAGGCGAGAAGCGTAACTATAAAATAATCGTAGATCAGCAGTGTTAGCTGTTCGTTTGCGGAACCTAAAAATCGTCTAGGAATGAAGGTGCACAAACTACCCAAGCCTTACGCTAAGCTCATCTCGTCTTTTGCTCGAGTAGCGCTCAACTGTGATTCACGGGTACGAATTCACGGGGATACGAGACAATTAATATGTTATGACAACTATAAATCACTAAAATGTTCTATCCTTTTCAATTATATTTTCGATGCAGCAGATGCTATCACTAGGCTTCTACGAACAACTTTTTTTTTTCGAAATATTACAACAATTATGCTCATTTATACGGCATCCACAGGTAGATACTGTATGATACACGACTACAGAGAAATCGGCCTAGACATTCATATTCAAAAACGTTGACGCCAGCATTACACCGAAAGGCGATATGGAAAAGAGAGCCAAGCAAAAGTGCCGGATGGGGGGCAAAAGACCCATTTTGCCCACTTTCGGCCCACAACGTACAGCTATTTGCTTTGTATTTGCTGTTGCCGCTGCCTGTCGGAGCTCGGTCTGCATCAGAGTGGCAAATTATTATAAATTGCGTAAAACACTTCGGCTTACCACTTTACCTACCTATTATAATTAGCTAACCGGAGGGAGCGTATTGTGTTGTACCGGCCACCAGAAATTTATAGGGAGTCGAGTGAAGACAAACAGACCTCGCAATCGAATTTTCTTGCAGAGATGCTAGACATTTGCCACTCGTAGGGATGCCTGATCATCTGTTTCCAGTGTACCAGCCTGTTCTGAATGTTTGCACCACAATGAAGTCGTCCGTACCGGGATCCCGTTAAATAATAGAATTGACTTTAGGGCTTTTCACAAGAACGGTTGTTTTAAGTTTAAGTGGTGTACCGGTATCGTGTTCTGCACAGAACACACGCTTCGTTTTAGACGATTTCTTCGCACTTCCCTATGGGGATTTCGAAATCTGCATCGGGGAAAAGTCGACAATTGACTAGTTAGAAACAAGTTAGCGAATAGTAACGCTTAGGTATTATGGGATTGTCTATGCGTCTAGATTGCCAGCCTGCTGGCCGTCCGTCACAACGGATTAATCAGTGGATACTCCTGTGTCCATATTCGTCACCGTATTTCTCTTCGGTTTTATTAGAAGGTCATTGTACGTGATTTCATAAACTTGGCTGTGTTTATAGCCATCTCGAAGGAATGCCACGGTGAATGAAAGACCCTATTTAAAATTGTTTGTCTATGAACAGCGACAAACACTTACGATGCCGGAGTATTTCTGCACGAGCTTCAATAGACGGCTGTATAATCTGAGGCCAATCGTGTTTAAATTACTCGATACCTTTCTAATCCAACGTGCCATTACAAATGAAACGCCTTACACTGTTAGAACATACGAT